CCGACACCGACGCTTTGCGTTGAACCACTTGTACGTAACAAAATTTCACCGTGTAAGACCCCATTAAAAAAATAATAAGACCCCGACAGCAGGGGCGGATCTATATATGGGCGAGCCTGGGGTTTGTCCCGACCCCAGCAACCAAAATTTCTGGCTTCCCCCCTGATGATTATGAAATATCTCGAGTATCACATCCTAGTATTTTGTTTAAAAACATGTAGTACACCGAATACATAACAAACATAAAAACATAACTAACGATCATCACTAACACAAATATCGCACGTAAAATTATTAATTATGAAATATACACGCGGCAATCATCCTACTGGGACCCGTACTTGAGTAGCTCCCACCGGAAGGGGAGGAGCACACAGAACACGTGAGGCGAGCTCTTGAAAAGCAAAGCTGTGCACACGCAAACCGCAGCAATGGCCACCATCGACACCATTGCCGGCCGGTATAGCCTAACCGAGGACGGTGATGATGCTATTGAGCACTTGCCGTGGCTAAACCACAGCCTCTTGGCCCTGCATGGCCCACACTCTTTATTGTGCCAACTCGTCGCCATCTTGTTCTCGCATTCGAAGGCTGCACCGAAATTACTTGCCTTCTCGGTTTTCTGGGTTGTGATGCTGCCTATATCGAATATGTCTAAAATGACATGTTCCTTTTCCGATTTGTTGTTGAGTTTCATGTCAACGAGTTTATTGTACGAGTGATGGCCACGCAAGCGTGCGTAGTCGTGAGGCGTTAGTCCACTGCTGTCTCTAGTAGTTTTCCATGCTTTAATTCCCACCTGAGGGAGACAAAAGAGAAGGTTTGAGTAGCAAAGAAATGTCTCCAAAATATAAAATGAGAGAAAAGAGATAAACGATCATACGTGTCCAAGATCTTCAGTCAATGCATCCACCACACTCTCGCAGCTATCAAGACAGGCGGCTATATGAAGAGGAGTCAATCCACCGGGTCCAGCTGCATCAGTCCTGAACAAATAGTGGTGGCTCTCGTCCGCTAGCTTCTGTAAGGATCCCGTTTCGCCCGAAACTTCACTCGGGCGGTAACTCAAAAGAAATTTCACCATGGATCTGCATTTTCTCCTCACGGCCCGGTGGAGAAGGCCGATCTCCAGCAGCTTTTCTAAATTATTCGAATCCTTTTGTCCCAAATCCACCGTGCCATCAAACAGAATATTCAAGAGCTTTCTGACCACTGCACACCAGTCATGATCGACTGAGAACTCGACCAACCATCTGAAGCGTCCAAATGAGAACGATTTCATCAGGTCACTACCACCAATGCTTTGACCTGATAGCCGATACTTTAGTCGGTTTCTGTGGAGAAGCCAACCCATTTCGTGTATAAACTCCAAAGCTTGATTTCTAATATCTGATTCCTCAGTATCATCATCACCCTCAAATATTGATTCCAGGCTACAAATTTCAGAGCACACGTCCTTTTCAGCCACGATGAATGGGAAGAAGCTGCTGTTCAGACCATGGTCTTCGACCTAAAATATGTCCGTTTGAGTGAGACCATTAAAACTAACAGTGATTGTTTACCTTTCTTTTTTTATTTTTTATTTTTTAAAATAATTCACCTCAATAAATCCTCTTCCGATTATATCTGGTATAACGCAAGAGAAGCTAAAGGACTGCATCCCGTCATGCTCCTCGAAAGAATCTGCTTCCCTAGTTGTATCCGCAAAATTTTCCTCAACTAGATAATTTCCTTCCAATGTGCACAGAAACCTAGAGAGATAAACAGCTGGTTAAAACTGGAGTAGACTCCTTGTTTTACTGAGTTTACCCAAAACAAAGAATACCTCAAGGTAGAACGAGATAAATAGAATCCTTTGACCAAAAACTGAGCAGACTCGGAAACTGTAACAGCAATTGGCTTTATACTTGATATTCTGCAGTTTCGATTGTATTTTACAGGTAAGGGTGTGTCTAGTACAAGCTGGCCTGCAGTCACGACAAAAATTGTCAACTTTCTCATCAACCCAAAAAAAAAAAAAGAAAAATGGATGACAAGTAGAAAGGTGACAAGAAAGGGGAAGATTAAATATACCATTATACAGAAATGTGGCACGATGTTGCACTCGAGTATACATCCACCCCGTTTTCCAGAATGGATCGGTAGATGAGTTGAGAAGCCGCCTCAAACTGGATGCTAAATCACAATAAAGCTGCAAGCAAGGACGCGTAAACAAAGCTAAAATTTATGAGCATAATCCAATTAATAAACTGAAGTTTTGTAGCAGATACAAACATACACAATTTATTCAAGTCAGATCGCATAATCCAAGCATAAGATAAGCTTTGATATAACTAGATTTCTATTCGTTTTGTGATATTAAACTCACCTCGTCCCAGCTGGATTTATCCATGTGTATATATATAGTCAGTATAATGCAACCAGGACGAATGTAGCTTTCTACATCAGTAGGACTATTGGACAGCCAATCAAGAATCTGAAATCCATTTTCACAGAATTAGATCTTCTATGACAAGATGCATGAAGATTATAAATTTAAAAAAAAAAAAAAAAAAAAAA